TTTAGTCAAATAAGGACTATTTTATACATCTTACATGGTCTCTGTGTGTGCTACCAAACCAGCAGCATCTGTATTCTGCTCATATGTTTAGGAAGCAGATAAATAAATTGCAGGTACAGTGAAATGCTTGTGTTTCTAGCATCAACAGTGCAGTAATAATACCTAACAATACAAAACAATACAATCATAATCCAAAAGTAACAAGCAATGTTAGAGTCCGGAATATATACACACACAGAACAAAAATATAAACGCAACATGTAAAGTGTTGGTCCCATGTTTCATGAGCTGAAATAAAACATCCCAGAAATGTTCCATATGCAAAAAACGCTTATTTCTCTCTAATTTTGTTCACAAATTTGTTTACATCCCTGTTAGTGAACATTTCTCTTTTGCCAAGATAAGCCATCCACCTGACAGGTGTGGCAAATCAAGAAGCTGATTAAACAGCATTATCATTACACAGGTGCACCTTGTGCTGTGGACAATAAAAGGCCACTCACACAACACAATGCCACAGTTTTGAGGGAGCGTGCAATTGGCATGCTGACTGCAGAAATGTCCACCAGAGCTGTTGCCAGAGAATTGAATGTTAATTTCTCTACCATAAGCCGCCTCCAACGTCGTTTTAGAGAATTTAGCAGTACATCCAACTGGCCTCACAACCGCAGACCACGTGTAACCACGCCAGCCCAGGACCTCCACATCTGGCTTCCTCACCTGCGGGATAGTCTGAGACCAGCCACCTGGACAGCTGATGAAACTGAGGAGTATTTCTGTCTGTAATAAAGCCCTTTTGTGGGGAAAAACTCATTTTGATTGGCTGGGCCTGGCTCCCAAGTAGGTGGGCCTATGCCCTCCCAGGCCCACCCATGGCTGCGCCCCTGCCCAGTCATGTGAAATACATAGATTAGGGCCTAATGAATTTATTTCAAATCACTGATTTACTTGTATGAACTGTAACTCAGTAAAATCGTTGAAATTGTTGCATGTTGCATTTATATTTCTGCTCAGTACATTATATATATATATATATATATAATGGTGTGCATAGCCAGTATAAGAATAGAAAAGGTGTGTACAGCAGTAGTTACTGTATATAGGATGAGCCATGACTAGAATACAGTATAAACATATAAAGTGGGTAAAACAGTATATAAATATTATTAAAGTGACCCGTGTTCAATTACTAAGTACATAGGGCAGCAGTCTCTAAGGTGCAGGGTAGAGTACCGGGTGGTAGCCGGCTAGTAACAGTGACTAAGTTCAGGGCAGAGTACTGGGTGGAGGCCGGCTAGTGGTGACTGTTTAACAGTCTGATGGCCTGGAGTTAGAAGCTGTTTTTCAGTCTCTCGGTCCCAGCTTTGATGCACCTGTACTGTCTCCTCCTTTTAGATGGTAGTGGGGTGAACAGGCCGAGGCTCGGGTGGCTGAGGTCCTTCTTGGCGTTCCTGTGACACCGTGTGCTGTAGATGTCCTGGAGGGCAGGCAGTGTGCCCCCGATGAAGCGTTGGGCTGACCGCACCACCCTCTGGAGAGCCCTGCGGTTGCGGACGGCACAATTGCCGACAGGATGCTCTCAATTGTGCATCTGTAGAAGTGTGTGAGGGTCTCGGGGGCCAAGACTAATTTCTTCAGCGCTGTTGTGCCTTCTTCACCACACTGTCTGTGTGAAGGGAACATTTCAGGTGGTCAGTGATGTGCACGCCAAGGAATTTGAAGCTTTTGACCCTCTCCACTGCGGCCCTGTTGATGTGGATGGGGGCGTGCTCTCTCTGCTGTCTCCTGAAGTCCACGATCAGCTCCTTCGTTTCGTTGACACTGAGGGAGAGGTTATTTTCCTGGCACCATTCCGCCAGCGATCTCACCTCCTCCCTGTAGGCTGTCTCGTCATTGTTGATATATGTTACGGTAGAGAACCTGTCTGCTCTAATCATCCCTGGCTTTACTGCTGAATGTGTGTCAGACATGGAGATTGACAGAACGCACAGAGAGAGAGAGAGAGAGAGAGAGAGAGAGAGAGAGAGAGAGAGAGAGAGAGAGAGATAGAGAGAGAGAGAGAGAGAGAGAGAGAGAGAGAGAGAGATAGATAGAGAGCTCAAGATGTAGCGAGATGTATTGGAGTGATGACATTCACTTGACAAGGCAATCTGTTACAGCGTTTACATTGATGAAACGTGGAGAGAGGGAACAGAGAAGAGGAATACACAACCTCCTCGGCTGAGAGGCAGTGTGTACAAACAGTTCACCATACACACTAGGACACACACACTGACATGCCTGAAAGGTACTGTGTACACACTCTGAAACGCTAGGAGGTCTGGGGCTGCATAAGGAAATAAACACTTTGGGAGTCGAGACAGTTGGTTTCTGTCTAAAGTGTTAACTAACTTGTAATTACCTGTTAATCACTGTTCATATTTGAACGTGTTTTGCAGAAGCAGGTAAGCCTGTGTGGCTGTTAGTTGGTTAACCTGTGTAGTGGTGAAGGGTTGAGGCCTATTCTCTCCATATTTTCTCTCCTCTCTCCTCCCTCCCTCCCTCCCCCCTCCCCCCTCTCTCTCTCCCTCTTTTCCCGCTCCTCCCTCTTCCCGTTCCCTCTCTCTTTTTCCCGCTCCCTCTGTCCCAGTTCCTCTCTCTTTGTCCCCGTTCCTCTCTCTGTCCCCCTCCCTCTCTCTCTGTCCCATCCCTCTCTCTCTGTCTCCCTCCCTCCTCTCTGTCCCCCTCCCTCTCTCTCTGTCCCTCTCTCTGTCCCTCTCTTTCTCTCTGTCCATCTCTCTCTCTCTCTCTTTCTTTCTGTCTCTCTCTCCGTCCCTCTCCCTCTCTTTGTATGCTCTAGCCGCGTGTTTCCCACCTCAGCCCTCTCTGTCTATCAGTCTGTGTCGTGAGTTCAGCCTGGCCGACGACTGCAGGGAGTGTGTGTGTGTATGTGTGGTGCAGTCTTGAGGCAGGAGGCCCACATGTTCACACACAGTAAAACATGTTAATGTGTAAACCAGAGTGGTGCTAGGCTTGCGGGAGGTTAATTTACAGCTCTGAGACTGAGCCCCTTTCACATCCCCACATACAACCTCCTTCCTATCTGATCATTAATTCATTATTAAACCTTGCAGAGCATCACTTTTAGTAGATAGGGATAGGTTTTCCAGAGGGCAGCCCCACATATCCAACCACATCAACACCAGGAGGGAGGGAGGGAGAGAACCAGACACAACATTTCCCTAGATGAGCACCAGCACTGCAGCCTTCGAGCGTGTAGGGATTGTGCCTGATCGTTAATCAATCAGATAGTGGACGGTAGTCTCCTGATACCTATCCCCATGTAGATAAAGGGCCTCATTGCTAAAATCCCGAAGTATCCCTTAAAGCCTCTACACTGAGTGACTGGCTAGTGGCAGGAAGTATGCTTACATGATCTGTGTGAGTGTGCCTGTGTGAGTGCGTGTGCCTGTGTGTGTGTGCATGTGTGCGTGTGTGTGTGTGTGTGTGTGGCTGTGATATACTGTATGCTTACATGATCTTCTGTTGGAGATCTTCTGGGGACTGAAGAACATGGGCGGCGGGCCGACGCAGTGCAAATCTCCTGGAAGAAAAGAGGAAGAGAAGAAGAGTAGAGGAGAGAGAGAAAGAGAGGATAGGAGAGAGATAGAGGATAGGAAGTAGATAGAGGATAGGACGCGAGACAGCGAGAGAGATCAGATAGCTCGTCTCGACTCGCGCGATCGCGCTCTCGCTTCGGACGATGCTCTCGCACTCTGCGTCTGGCGGGCCTCTCCGCTTCTGCTCCTCTCTCCTCGCTCTCTCTCAGCTCTCTTTCTCTCTCTATCCTCTCTCTCTCCTCGCTCTCTCTGCTTCTCTCTCTCTCCGCGCTCTCTTCTCTCTCTCTCTGTCTCTCTCTCTCTTCGCTCTCTCTCTGCTCATCTCTGCCCGCGCCTCTTCTTTAGAGCTCCTCTCGCCTTCCTCAGTCGCGTCTCAGCTTCACTCTCAGTCCTCTGCTCTACCTCTTCTCTCGCTTTCTTCTCCCTCCTTCTCTGGCTTCTATCTTTCCCTCTCTCTCTCTCTCCCTCTCTTCCTCTCCCTCTTTATCCTCTCTCTTGCGCCTCGCTATTCTCCCAGAGGATAGATAGAGCAACCATCACCATTAGACTTAGATCAGATTCCCTGTTATGACCGATTTTAATGCCCCTCCCCAATAAACCATCACTTTCATAGTCACACACTGGATTAATAACACTTTCTGCTATATACCCAGAAACATTCTTAAATATCCATCACGTTCATTCTTTAGGGTGAAAAAATGACAAAAATAAAGGGAAGAAGAGGCAGGAGAGAGAGAGAGAGAGAGAGAGAGAGAGAAAGAGAGAGAAAAAGGAGGTGCAAGAATAAATGTGAAGGATTTTGAGTTTTTTTATGTAGTTTTTTTTCTCTCTGTGCTCATTGGTTGTTCAGACAGAGCCAAGAAACTGCCCCAGTCCTCCAGCCCTGTGTTGCACATCAGCAGCCATCCGAGCTTGCCACTGATGTGCAATTTTCCATCCGCTCCCCTTCCCAAGTGGATCAGTACCAGTGCTATCATTTTCTGTCATTACTCATTTTGGGCCAGACGCGCACGGAAATCCAAAGTATTTTGGCAGCGCCAGGCAAGGGGGGAGGGGGGGTAGAAGGAGGGAGGGTGGAGAGGGGAAAAAAAGGAAAGAGAAAGAAATAGTCATTCCTTTCATTGTGACAGCAGTGAAACACTAGGCCTGGACTGGGCTTGTAATGGGGGTGGCAGACAGACAGGCCTTGCCCTGGCTATGGAGAGGGGACAGTGGTTGGGAGACAGAAGGGGGGAGAATGGCTAAAGGTGGTGGAAGACAGACAGAGAGGGGGGTGAGGGGGAGGGGGTTAGGGGGTTTGAGGGAGAGGTGGATGGGGGTAGGAAGCGTTGGGATGTCTGGGAAGTAGGGCTGGGCGGCAGACACAGACACACACACACACACACACACACACACACAGACCTTGCCCTGGCTGGAAACAGGGGAAGAGGTTTTATTGGATGAGATGGTTGTAAGGACATTGGGTAGGGGGGGAGTATCAGAGTTTATTGTGGTATGGTTTTGGGGTTTGGTGTTGGGGTTTGTTTTTGGTGTGTCTGTTCCTGGATATCTCATCACTCCTCCTGGAACGTGTTTGGAGGGTATGAGGCCTGCGCGGGGGTTGGCATGGCCATCTTGTTTAGCCTGCCACCAGTTTGCATCATCCTGGCTCATGATCTGAAGGATATCTCCCCTCTTGAAGGCCAGGCCCGCCTCCGTACACGGGATGGCTTTGTCCTCCCGCTTGGGGTCGTAGTCAAACAGTGTCTTCACAAACATCTGGAGAGAGATGTGGGGGTTGGTGAGGGTTGGGGACAGAAGACAGAGAGAGAGAGAGAGAGATTTTTAACGGCGATCCAAACCTGCCCGGCTTCGGAACCAGATCAGACACACTTCACTGTTGCTTAATGTGATTGGCCAGGAAAGGTCAACACAATCAGGAGTTTGTCTATTACCTGCCTGAAGCACTGAAGCCATTGGCTCTAGTCTCTCTCTGGGTTATTCCATCAACATGGCCTGCGTACCAAATGGCACCCTATTTCCAACATAGTGCACTACTTTGACCAGGGCCGATAGGGCTCTGGTCAAAAGTAGTGCACTATATAGGGAATGGAGGAGGAACACCCCCACATACTAAAGTCTGTCAGCTGTCTTACAGCGTGGCGAGACTTTAACATCTCCTGAATCACAGGCTCCAAATGTGACTCCTGCTTCGTTCCGCTTTGTGATTTGGGCGGATTCGCAGGTCAAATTAACTTTGGTAATCTTTCCCTACTGAAGAGGAAAAAAATATTTTGCAGAGATGGGCTAATTTATCTTGGCAGTCAGAGGAGGGAGGGACACACTTCTTCATCAACACAACAGAGGTAAGACCTGGGAGAGGGAAAGGAGCGGAGACTTGGACATCTTTCCCTTTATAGCGAAAACAACTCACTGCATCCTCACTCCAAGACGCTAAAGCAGTCACAGTAAATTATCAGTCCTTAGCCACTGGTGAGCATGTGCAGATAGAGTGAGACAGAGAGCGAAAGAGAGAGCCATTCTCAAACAACAAAGCAATCACCTACAGAGAGATTAACTTTGAGAAGAGTCCCCTAAGTAAGCTGGTCTTGGGGCTCTGTTCACAAACACAAACAGACCACACAGAGACCCAGGACAACAACACAATTAGACCCAACCAAATCATGAGAAAACAAAAAGAGAATTACTTGACACATTGGAATGAAACTAGAATGCTATTTGGCCCTAAACAGAGAGTACACAGTGGCAGAATACCTGACCACTGTGACTGACCCAAACCTAAGGAAAACTTTGACTATGTACAGACTCAGTGAGCATAGCCTTGCACATATTTCCCTTAGATTACACAGATCCACAAAGAATTAGAAAACAAACCCAATTTTGATAAACTCCCTTATCTACTGGGTGAAATACCACAGTGTGCCATCACAGCAGCAAGATTTGTGATCTGTTGCCACAAGAAAAGGGCAACCAGTGAAGAACAAACACTATTGTAAATACAACCCATATTTATTTTCCCATTTGTACTTTAACTATTTGCACATTGTTACAACACTGTATATATACACATAATACGACATTTGAAATGTCTTTATTCTTTTGGAACTTCTGAGTGTAATGTTTACTGTTAATATTTATTGTTTATTTCACTTTTGTTTACTATCTACGTCACTAGCTTTGGCAATGGTAACATACGTTTCCCATGCCAATAAAGCCCATTGAAAATGTAAATTGAATTAAGAGAGAGAGAGAGAGAGCGCGAGAGAGAGAGAGAGAGAGCGAGAGAGAGAGAGCGAGAGAGAGAGAGCGAGGAGAGAAGCGCGAGAGAGAAAGCGGCGATAGCAGAAAGCGCGAGAGAGAGAGCGAGTAGAGCGCGAGAGAGAGAGAGCGAGAGAGAGCCGAGAGAGAGAGCGAGAGAGAGGAGAGAGAGAGAGAGAGAGAGAGAGAGAGAGAGAGAGAGAGAGAGAGAGAGAGAGAGAGAGATAAAGAGGGTAAAGTCCCTGCATGTGTCAAGGTGATTTAAGGAGCGCTACGTTGCCATGTAGTGAAATGATGTTTCAGATGGGGACGTTTTGTTTGGGTCTGAGCGAGGAGGGAACAGGCTTTCTGGCTCTGCAGCCTAACAGCAGTATAAACCAATACATCCTTGCTGAAAGCTCCTGCTTCTCTCTCCCTCTCCTCTCGTCTTGTCCATCTTTCTTTTTCTCTCTACAGTTTTACACATGTGTACCCAATTAGCCCGCACTTCAATGTATTTATTATAGCCAAGGAAAAAGAGTAAACTAGTTCTTCTCAGAGGGGAGGCTGAAGTTCTGGCACCGATACACAGGTTCAGATTGATATCTGAAATGGACATATTAAAACCATTAAACTATGACAGAGAGTACAACCAAGCCCCCCTCCAACCCACCCACCCACACGCACATGCACCCTGTGTTCTGACAAATGATATTCCAGCTGGTCTTTTGACCTGAGCCTCAGCCAGGGGAGCTACTCCCCCTAGCCCCCTCTGTTATTGATAAATGCCTATGAAAGACTATACATCACAACTATGAGTTGGAGAATACAGGATATAGCCAGTCAGTGGATTTTCAGTTAAAACATCCACCTAACGTTACAAGCAACTACAAGCAACTATTTACAGTACACATACAGTTCATTCGGAAAGTATTTAGACTCCTTGACTTTTTCCACATTTTGTTACGTTACAGCCTTATTCTAAAATTGATTAAATCGTTTTTCCCCCTCATCAATCTACACACAATACCCCATAATGACACATTTAAAAGAAAAACGGACATATCACATTTACAGGAGTATTCAGACCCTTAACTCATTACTTTGTTGAAGCACCTTTGGCAGCAATTACAGCCTCGAGTCTTGTTGGGTATGACGCTACAAGCTTGGCACACCTGTATTTCTGAGGTTTCTCCCATTCTTCTCTGCAGATCCTCTCAACCTCTATCAGGTTGGATGGGGAGCATCGCTGCACAGCTATTTTCAGGTCTCTCCAGACATGTTCAATCGGGTTCAAGTCAAGGTTCTGGCTGGGCCACTCAAGGACATTCAGTGACTTGTCGCGAAGCCACGCCTGCGTTGTCTTGGCTGTGTGGAGGGTCGTTGTCCTGTTGGAAGGTGAACCTTCGTTTGAGGTCCTGAGCGCTTTGGAGCAGGTTTTCATCAATTATTTCTCTGTACTTTGCTCCGTTCATCTTTCCCTCGATCCTGACTAGTCTCCCAGTCCCTGCTGCTGAAAAACATCCCCACAGCATGATGCTGCCACCACCATGCGTCACTGTAGGGATGGTGCCAGGTTTCCTCCAGACGTGATGCTTGGCATTCAGGCCAAAGAGTTCAATCTTGATTTCATCAGACCAGAGAATCTTGTCTCTCATGGTCTGAGAGTCCTTTAGGTGCCTTTTGGCAAACCAAGCGGGCTGTCATGTGCCTTTTACTGAGGAGTGGCTTGATGGAGTGCTGCAGAGATGGTTGTCCTTCTGGAAGGTTCTCCCATCTTCACAGAGGAACTCTGGAGCTCTGTCAGAGTGACCATCGGGTTATTGGTCACCTCCCTGACCAAGGCCCTTCTCCCCCAATTGCTCAGTTTGGCCGGGCGGCCAGCTCTAAGAAGAGTCTTGGTGGTTCCAAACTTCTTCCATTGTGTGTGTATTATTCCATCCTGTGTTCTTGGGGACCTTCAATGCTGCAGACATTTTTTGGTACCCTTCCCCAGATCTGTGCCTCGACACAATCCTGTCTCGGAGCTCTACAGACAATTCCTTCGACCCCATGGCTTGGTTTTTGCTCTGACATGCACGGTCAACTGTGGGGCCTTATATAGACAGGTGTGTGCCTTTCCAATCAATTGAATAGACCACAGGTGGACTCTAATCAACGTGTAGAAACATCAAGGATGCAAACAAGATGCACCTGAGCTCAATATCGAGTCTCATTGAAAAGGGTCTGAATACTTATGTAAATAAAGTATCTGTTTTCTATTTTAAATACATTTTCTAAATTTTCTAAAAACCAGTTTTCGCTTTGTCATTATGGGGTATGGTGTATAGATTGATGAGGAAAACAATTAATCTAATCCATTTTAGAATAAGGCTGTAACGTAACAAAATGCGGAAAAAGGGAAGGGGTCTGAATACTTTCTGAATGCACTATATACCCACAAAACAAACACAAATATCACATTCACACTCATACAAACGCATACATAAGTATCTACTGTACACAGTTAAAATATAAACCTGACACAGGCAACCCTGTCACATACACACTCATACAAATGCATTCAGGAGTAACTGTACACCTTCTTACAAAAACACACAATAGAATCAAACATGTATTGTACAATAGCACCCACAAAATCCTATCCTCACCCTATATACAGTAGATACAGTGGCTTGCGAAAGTATTTACAACCCTTGGCATTTTTCCCATTTTGTTGCCTTACAACCTGGAATTAAAATGGATTTTTTGGGGGGTTTGTATCATTTGATTTACACATCATGCCTACCACTTTGAAGATGCAAAATATGTTTTATTTTGAAACAAACAAGAAATAAGACAAAAACACTGAAAACTTGAGCGTGCATAACTATTCACCCCCCACAAAGTCAATACTTTGTAGAGCCAACTTTTGCAGCAATTACAGCTGCTAGTCTCTTGGGGTATGTCTCTATAAGTTTGGCACATCTAGCCACTGGGATTTTTGCCCATTCTTCAAGGCAAAACTGCTCCAGCTCTTTCAAGTTGGATGGGTTCCGCTGGTGTACACCAATCTTTAAGTCATACCACAGATTCTCAATTGTATTGAGGTCTGGGCTTTGACTAGGCCATTCCAAGACATTTAAATGTTTCCCCTTAAACCACTCAAGTCTTGCTTTAGCAGTATGCTTAGGATCATTGTCCTGCTGGAAGGTGAACCTCCGTCACAGTATCAAATCTCTGGAAGACTGAAACAGGTTTCCCTCAAGAATTTCCCTGTATTTAGCGCCATCCATCATTCCTTCAATTCTGACCAGTTTCCCAGTCCCTGCCGATGGTGTTCTCGGGGTGATGAGAGGTGTTGGGTTTGCGCCAGACATTGCGTTTTCCTTGATGGCCAAAGAGCTCAATTTTTGTCTCATCTGACCAGAGTACCTTCTTCCATATGTTTGGGGAGTCTCCCACATGGCTTTTGGCTAACACCAAACGTGTTTGCTTATTTTTTTCTTTAAGCAATGGCTTTTTTCTGGCCACTCTTCCGTAAAGCCCAGCTCTGTGGAGTGTACGGCTTAAAGTGGTCCTATGGACAGATACCCCAATCTCCGCTGTGGAGCTTTGCAGCTCCTTCATGGTTATCTTTGGTCTCTTTGTTGCCTCTCTGATTAATGCCCTCCTTGCCTGGTCCGTGAGTTTTGGTGGGCGGCCCGCTCTTGGCAGGTTGGTTATGGTGCCATATTCTTTCAATTTTTTTATAATGGATTTATTGGTGCTCCGTGGGATGTTCAACATTTCGGATATTTTTTTAGAACCCAACCCTGATCAGTACTTCTCCACAACTTTGTCCCTGACTTGTTTGGAGAGCTCCTTGGTATTCATTGTGCCGCTTGCTTGGTGGTGCTCCTTGCTTAGTGGTTTTGCAGACTCTGGGGCCTTTCAGAACAGGTGTATATATACTGAGATCATGTGACAGATCATGTGACACTTAGATTGCACACAGGTGGACTTTATTTAACTAATTATGTGACTTCTGAAGGTAATTGGTTGCACCAGATCTTATTTAGGGGCTTCATAGCAAAGGGGGTGAATACATATGCACGCACCATTTTTCCGTTATTTATTTTTTAGAATTTTTTTTAAACAAGTTATTTTTTTCATTTCACTTCACCAATTTGGACTATTTTGTTTATGTCTATTACATGAAATCCAAATAAAAATCCATTTAAATGACAGGTTGTAATGCAACAAAATAGGAAAAAACGCCAAGGGGGATGAATAGCTTTGCAAGGCACTGTAGATTTCCCGTTGAGGAATGCGTAGACTCCAGGGACCATATTCATAAAGGAGTGCTGACAGTGTTGGAGAGTAGTGAACTAACTACATGTAGCTTGGTAGTAGTTTAACTAAATTCAAATCTAGTGTTTTCAGTAGTTATTTACTTTTTTGCCATGTAGTTGTATAGCTAACTACTGGAACTAAACACAAGAGACCTGCCTAATTCTCACTTGAAAATAGTTTTTGTGTTTAATAGGTTAAATTACACATTATTTTAACATATGAGCCCAAAGTGATCTGTTGTTGCAATTTATAGTGAATGACATGGTAATTTTTTCATGAAGTAGTTTGGATGTAGTGAATTACTTTTTCAAAGTAACTTTAGTTAAGTTAATTATATTGTTTCTTAAGGGTCGATTTAGTGTAGCTTAACTTCTTTCAGTGTTAAGTAATTGGTAGTTTGGTAAACTCTTTTTTCAGAGTAGGTTCCCAACACTGATCTAGGATCAGTTTTGTCTTTAAAATCATAATGAATAAGATGGGGGACCTGATCCTAGATCAACACTCTGAGATACTCAAGAGTCTTTGTGAATACGGGGCCCAGCACTAAAGGCAGTAAGCAGTGTAACCCAATCAGCATAATGAATACGGTAGGACGGCAGCAGCAGGACCTTACCTTGGGCTCCTTGCTTGGCATCTCCTCTTTGATGGCTGGTATTAATTTAAACGTAATGGCCCCTTGGGACTGGGACTGAAACACAGACAACAGAAAGACAGATAGAGGGCGAGAAAGAGAGAGATAGAGAGAGAGAAAGGGGGGTGGGGAGAGGGCAAAAATACAGTTTCATTGCAAATAACTCAAAACCCAACTAGCCTAATCCAATGAGAAAGCTTTAATATGAAGAGCGGTTTTATTTTTCAACAATAGATAATTTCAACAATTAGGATAGTATGACTGCTGGGAGAGTGGAGCGGAGGGAAGAGGAGAGCTGCCAAGAGGATTCTGGCCCTAAAGCAAATACAGCTTTTAACAGGTCCCAGTCTACCAATTCCAAACTATCTTTCTCTTTCCTCTCCAGCTCCATCTCTACCCAGAGCTGATCTGAGGACTGTGGCGGTGTATGTGTGTTTGTTTGGAGAGACTACAAAGCCCCCTACAGGGACCTCTCCCTGCTTGTCTCTTCCAGTGGGAGTATGTGGCCCAACATATCCCAAACAGAGGCCTGCTCCTGGGCCTGCTGGTACAGCAGGGCTGGCCAGAGTTTAGCTTAGCTGTCTACACAGATGAATCATAGGGACATTGCCGCCCAGTGAGGATGAGTTAGGAGGAGAGAGTCCTGCCACTACAAACAAGACTGTAAATCTCTATAGCCACGGGGCCCCGGGACCAAAACACAACTATAAACAGCAGGTCAATGATAACATACACACACAAGCATGGACTAAAACACACACAGACATGCACGCACACACACCAGAATGTGGATGATTTCATCAGGCTTCTTGTCATCCACAGGAATCCCGTTCACTTCCCTCAGCTCGTCCCCTACATGGATCAGACCTGGGACAGGGACAAGACAGGGGACAGAGAGAGGGAGAGGGAGGAAGAGAGAGGGAGGGAGAGAGAAAGAGAGAGAGAGAGAGAGAGAGTGTCAAGCAGACACGGACACAGAGACATAACACACACTGTACAGAGTGCATACAAACACAGCTATACACACACAATAGAAAATACTGACCTACTAATAGAAATCCTTTGGGAGTTAATATCAGGCTAAACAATAAATGCATACTGCATATTAAACAGAGTATAATGAATGTGTGAGGTCGTATTGCTTTAGTAACACACACAGCTTGGGGGGGTTGCTCTCCGCTCTCCTTCATGGTGGTATTAGTGATCATTGGGCTTCGCGATTTACCACTACGTATCAATTTCACAGGGCATGAATACACTTTACAACAGGACACGAATACACTTTACATTACACACTGAGTATAGGGTGGACAACAGAGAGAGAGAGAGAGAGAGAGAGAGAGAGAGAAGGGAGGGGCCAGAAAGAGAGAGAGGGCGGCAGAGAGCGAGAAGGGGGGGGGGGGGAGATAGAGAGCCAGAGATAACTTACCACTTCTGTCTGCTGCTCCACCTCTCATGATCCTGGCGACAAGGATGGCTCCTGTGTGCTCATCACGCTTTATTGTGGCTCCCTGTGTCTCACACACACACACACACACACACACACAAAAGAAAAGAAAAAGGAGATAGATGAAGTATCATATGATGTTACACGTGTACCAATATACAGAAATTCCATAATGAATGTCCAACAGACATTTTTTGGTCAACCATCTCTTCCAAACTGCTACAGCTCTCTATGGTTTCCAACCCCAACCCCACTTCAATCAACCACTGGGGTGGATCCCCTTACTGGTTGACATGAACACCATAGCACAGGCTGTACAGTACAGCTGGGCATTTTCAGTCCAAACCTTTCCAGCATAGACATCCATCCTGGGCTTATGTCTGTGTGGACCAGCCCCTGACTGAAAGACAGGTGAGGCCCTAGCAGGTAGTTAGCCCTCAGCCCTGTAGCAGCAGCAGACATCCAGACACTCTCTCTCTTTCTGTCTCTCTCGCTCTCTCTCTCCAGACACCCTGTGTTTTAACTGTGGTCTTTACTGCCCCATAGCTGAGACCAGGACACAGAGGGCAGGGGGAGACAGACATACAGACAGAGGATATATGGGACAGAAGGTATAAGTTTCCCTTTCCATTCCAACTGACAGTGTTCAGTTCAGCTAGTGATGTGTTTACCAGGGCTTCTCACTCTCCCTCTCCTCAGACAGCCTGAGAAAATAGGCCCAAAGTGTGCCAACAGCCAACCCTTCTACAAACAACTTATCGGCAGAGCGCTGGATGGTGGACGGACGCTGGCAGACAGCGAGACGAGAGATGGCGAAACCTTTCGAAACCGACCACAGCATGGAGTGTCATCACCGCCGCCATCGCCTCGCTATCTGACCGGACTGGCCCGAGCCAGTCTAGACACATACAGTTGAAGTCGGAAGTTTACATACACTTAGGTTGGTCATTAAAACTAATTTTTTAACCACTCCACACATTTATTTTTCACAAACTATAGTTTTGGCAAGTCGGTTAGGACATTTACTTTGTGCATGACACAAGTAATTTTTCCAACAATTGTTTACAGACAGATTATTTCAGTTATAATTCACTGTATCACAATTCCAGTTGGTCAGAAGTTTACAGTTGACTGACTAAGTTGACTGTGCCTTTAAACAGCTTGGAAAATTCCAGAAAATGATGTCATGGCTTTAGAAGCTTCTGATAGGCTAATTGACATAATTTGAGTCAATTGGAGGTGTACCTGTGGATGTATTTCAAGGCCTACCTTCAAACAGTGCCTCTTTGCTTGACATCATGGGAAAATCAAAAGAAATCAGCCAAATAATTGTAGACCTCCTCAAGTCTGGTTCATCCTTGGGAGCAATTTCCAAATGCCTGAAGGAACCACGTTAATATGTACAAACAATAGTACACAAGTATAAACACCATGGGACCACACAGTCATCATACCACTCAGGAAGGAGATGCGTTCTGTCTCCTAGAGATTAACGTACTTTGGTGTGAAAAGTGCAAATCAATCCCAGAACAACAGCAAAGGACCTTGTGAAGATGCTGGATGAAACAGGTTCAAAAGTATCTACATCCACAGTAAAACGAGTCCTATATCGACATAACCTGAAAGGCCGCTCAGCAAGAAAGAAGCCACTGCTCCAAAATCGCCATAAAAAAGCCATACTACGGTTTGCAACTGCACATGGGGACAAATATCGTACTTTTTGGAGAAATGTCCTCTGGACTGATGAAACAAAAATAGAACTGTTTGGCCATAATGACCATCGTTATGTTTAGAGGAAAAAGGCGAACGCTTGCAAGCCGAAGAACACCATCCCAACCGTGAAGCACAGGGGGTGGCAGCATCATGCTGTGGGGGTGCTTTGCTGCAGGAGGGACTGGTGCACTTCACAAAATAGATGGCATCATGAGGAAGGAAAATTATGTGGATATATTGAAGCAACATCTCAAGACATCAGTCAGGAAGTTAAAGCTTGGTCGCAAATGGGTCTTCCAAATGGACAATGACCCCAAACACATTTCCAAAGTTGTGGCAAAATGGCTTAAGGACAACAAAGTCAAGGTATTGGAGTGGCCATCACAAAGCCCTGACCTCAATCCTATAGAAAATGTGTGGGCAGAACTGAAAAAGAGTGTGCGCGCAAGGAGGCCTACAAACCTGACTCAGTTACACCAGCTCTGTCAGGAGGAATGGGCCAAAATTCACCCAACTTATTGTGGGAAGCTTGTGGAAGGCTACCTGAAATGTTTGACCGAAGTTAAACAATTTAAAGGTAATGCTACTAAATACTAATTGAGTGTATGTATACTTCTGACCCACTGGGAATGTGATGAAAGAAATAAAAGCTGAAATAAATCATTCTCTCTACTATTATTCTGACATTTCACATTCTTAAAATAAAGTGGTGATCCTAAACTGACCTAAGACAGGGAATTGTTTACTAGGAATAAATGTCAGAAATTGTGAAAAACTGAGTTTAGATGTATTTGGCTAAGGTGTACGTACATTTCCGACTTCCAACTGTAGTTAGGAAATAGAAAACGCGTCATCCCTCGCTCCTCTCGTCTCTCTTGACCTGTTATTCACATCATCTTCATGACTGTTATTGTTTCTGTAAAGGAAGAGGCTCCACATTTCTTCACTGTATAGACTGTGCTTTATTTCAAACTGTCTAACTGTCTAACCAACTGCCATGTTATTCTAACCAACTGCCACTAGGGCCTAGCCAGGGGCACTCAGAGACACCTAGCCTACGTCAATGATGAGTCGATGGCCAACCAAACTTCTTTCTGTTCTATTTTTCTTGGGCTACCTACCTAACTAGAGTACCTCCACAGGCCCAACAGGCAGGACTGTCATGGCTGACGAGAAGCACAGATAGATCACTGGTTTCTACCACTAAATTACCACATCACCATCACTGTTTTCTTGACCTGTTCACTCCTAATGGTTTTCTCCTCCAATAATAATTTCCTCAAGGTCCTTTCCTCTGTGTGACGTTGAGTTAAGAAGAAGAGATGGTGGCTGGTCCTGATGGAAAGAGCAGAGGCCCTTTAACATGGGGATAAGACACTCCTCGGGCCAGAGATCTTCACAGCCTTTCCATTTCATTTCATCATTTGTCCAATTATGGTAACCAGAGAGGTTTTGGTAGGAGGAAAATCAGAGGAGTGGTGGAGAGAGGGCAGAACACTGTCAAACCCTTGTGTCAAGGTCACAGCTAACCCCTCACTGTGACTATAAACAGCTGGAGCATGATGCAATAGAAGAGAGAGGGAGAGAGAGGGAGGGAGAGGGGGAGAGAGAGGGCAGGCATAGAGAGAGGGAGGGAGAGAGGGGGCAGAGAGAGAATGAGAGAGACAACAAAACAGAGAGAGAGAGAGAGAGAGAGAGAGAGAGAGAGAGAGAGAGAGAGAGAGAGAGAGAGAGAGAGAGAGAGGAGAGGAGAGAGAGAGAGAGATACAGGTCTGTGTAGTTTCTCAGAGCAGTGTCCAGACCTTAGGGGCAGGGGGTTGCAGCACTCTGCTTTTCATCCAGTTCGGATGTTTTTGTCTGTGTGTTGTTGGCTGGGGGCCAGGACTGTGATGTGATGGATGTTTTTATAAGGTTTCATCGATAAGGAGGGAGGCTTGTGGCTGGCTAAAGGGTAAATGAAGAAGTGAGTAAGCTTTATCTGTTCTTTGTCATTACCACTCCTTTCCTAATCATATGTTGTACTGGACGTCAGACTAGTCTAGTACAGTAATTCTAGAACTGGAACTTGACCTACTACCCTACAGTTGTGATGGGCCGATCCCTATCCAGGCCAGAGCTACACCAAGTGGGAGGGAGGGAGGGATGGAGAGAGAGAGGGAGGGAGGGAGGGAGGGAGGGAGGGATGCATATGATTCCTGGATCACCTCATTGTGAACTCGGGGAAAACGAGCTCTTCTTGATAAGAGGAGTGCAGTCATCAGCCAAGTCATCAGACAGACTACTGGAGGGGGGTTAGACAGCCAAACAACCACCCAAAAGAGGCCAGCAGGGTGAGGCCCGTTAGGAGAGGGGGAAAGAGGGCGAGTGGATGGGTGGAGAGAGAGGGAGGGAGGGAGGGAGGGAGGGAGGGAGGGAGGGAGGGAGGGAGAGTAAGGGAGGGAGAGTAAGGGAGGGATAAATATAAAGAAAGTGGGGGGAGAGGGATGGAGGGAGGTAAAAAGATAGAGTGAAATATAGAAAGAGCGAAAGAGAAGAGAGAATCTAAGAAAGACAGAGAAAGGAGGGTGAGACTGGGGGAAGACTTCCAAAGAGGGGATAGGTCCTCTCCAGGAGGGAGACATTAGGAGGTGACAACTTGTTCACATCAACTAACACTGAGCTGTTGAAATAATGAGCACTTCACGTCTCTACTAACACTCTCCCTGCTCCTTTCTCCAGGGTGAGTCAATTCAAATCACATTTCAGTATAGTACTCTCTTTGACCCTCTTTCTGATTGTGTGAGAGTTAATGACCACCTCCCCTCTCCCACGGCAGTTCTCACGTCCCCCCTCCTTTCCTCCCACCCCTCAACCTCCCCTCTCCCACAGCAGTTCTCACGTCCCCCCTCCTTACCTCCCACCCCTCAACCTCCCCTCTCCCACAGCAGTCCACACGTCCTCACCACATCGTTCCAGGGCCTCAACGAGCTGTGTGCCGCATGGAGAGGCTGGTACACTTCATTCCATATTCTCCTGGGCCAAATGTAGCTTTTCTGTAAGCTAGCTAATGGACCTGACCTGCTTTGGAAGTACTAGGAGAGGTAGAGGTAAAGGTAAAAGCCCCTCTATGGTACAGAGAAGTTTTGGGTTAAATGTTGTAACCCAATGGTCACCTTAACCCTACCTCCCCAGCCTCCCTGTCCTGCTGATGCCCTGTGGTTAACTCTCACTAACAGCACTGATGCATAGCTCCTAATGAGCAAATACATAAACAGCCCAGCCCTGAACCAAAATAAGCTCTGGCTACAAATGCTGGGACGGGTGCATACAAGCGCACGCACGTACACACACCACATACAGTTGGGAAAGATT